CCCCAAAACCCCAAAACCCCAAAACCCCAAAACCCCTAAAGGGTCTTTAATATTTGAATACCATTCAATATTTTCTAAACTATGGCACTAGTAAACCCTACAGTGCTTTACTTTAGGCGAGCTTCTAGATAAGCCATTTTAGGAATTTTGCAGGCTTTATTGGCAAGATAAGAATACTCTCACAAGTTATTTTGCATAAATATTTCAGGAAAATGTGTATTTAATTACTTTTAATGGTTCTTTATGGGTCTTCATACTTCATACATGAGTTCATGCTTGATTTTTCAAGCGACTTATTTGAAGAAGCATTGAGATCCTGGCTTTCTCTGCTAATATCCTTCTCGTATCTCCAGTTGGGTGAGCTCATGTTTCTAGAAGATTAACTGTTGTGTAATACCGTGCATGGTTCTCGAAAGCTTGCCTTCATCTCTCAGTTATTTCTTGCTGTATCTTCTTTCAGTTCTGCTCCTGTTCTTTGACATCAGATTTGACTATAGCCTTCTGCTGTCTTCTGGAAATAATGAATCCGTAGGTTGTGGTACCAACCAAGAAGAGGTAGATATGGAAGCACCAGAGGAAGCTGAGGAGAAATTTAGTGAACAGCTCAATCAGCATGAAAATGCTTAAATAAACCCTAAGAGGTATATAATCATCTGTGTAGGTGATGACCTTCACTCGGGCAATTATTACACCAACAAGACCGATCAAGATAAAACTCAGCAGAAGATAGAAAGTTAATAAAGCAAAGAAGTAGCGATAGTTCCTTACTCCTATTCAAGTATTGAGCCATATTCAATGATGATCAAATCCTCTGACGCACTTATTTCAGTCCTTACAATGTTTTGTGCTTTCATGGACGTATCAATCACAGGTATGACACTCGTAAGTAAATTTTTCAACATTAATATCTTTGCTTTCCTTAAGAATCGGATCTGCAGGATCTATCATCATACAGGCAATAGCTAGGGCGAGACAAGTCACTGCTAATATCGCAAAAAGGGCTATAATGAAGCCAAAATACTCAGTAGAAGTGACTTCTAGCAACCATGGGCAGACAGCAACTGAGAAGGTAGCCAACTCCATCAGGATGATGGAGTATGTACCTACTACTGCTATGCTCCATGGACAATGAAAGCCATTCCTCCTTATTGTATTGTGAGCGTACATCTCTAAGCTATTTTGCATCTATTAGATTGTCTTCTGATTTATCCTAGATCAGTGTTAGAAATTTCAGGAATGATTACAATTTGAAAATCAATTGTGTTATAAATATTTTCATAAGAATAAGAAGACACTATTGGAACAAAGTGGCGAAAGAGGAAATCTAGCCTTAATTAGAACATTTTAGTCAAAAGATTAGTTTATGATTGATTAAATTATAGATTCTGCCTAAACTACTACTATGGAAAGTCCGTGAACAGAATCAGAAGCATACAAGTATTTAGTTAGCCTTTACCAAAGAAAAGGACGATATTATAAATTTTTGTTTAATAGAAATTTTTGAACTATAAATAGCATTGATTTCAGAATCATCAAAAATCATATAAATTAAGTAAATCTACATTATTCTTAACAATCTCTGCATCATTTCCAAACTCTGGATCAATAGTAGCTTGATTAGGTACCTGTCCTGACATTCTACCCATCCTTGAAAGAATGATAACATTTCCATCGGGGGGTGCATTACTTTCTGTTTCCTTATTATACCTAAAATTTCACCTGATACACAAAATCTTGTCACTTACTGTTTTGTACTGATGCAGCTTCTGCCAGCTCTGAAGCCTTCGGGGGCTTCTACACTTGTATTCCACATTCTAGGCTCTATTGAGGCCTGAGAGTCGTTCTTCTTTGGTCTCTTAAGGCCCAGGTTCATTCTGTTATGGTCGGCCCGTTCAGCTCCACTTCTGGTCTTGCCAAGGTCTGTCAATTTGAGTTCTTCGTTCATTTTTCAATTATTATTATTTTGTTTGGGGTTTTGGGGTTTTGGGGTTTTGGGGTTTTGGGGTTTTGGGG